CATCCCTCCCGCCCCCTAGTGACGCTAATATTAGCATCCCTCCCGCTCCCTAGTGACGCTAATGTTAGCATCCCTCCCGCTCCCTAGTGACGCTAATGTTAGCATCCCTCCCGCCCCCTAGTGACGCTAATGTTAGCAACTTTCCCGCTCCCTAGTGACGCTAATGTTAGCATCCCTCCCGCTCCCTAGTGACGCTAATGTTAGCATCCCTCCCGCCCCCTAGTGACGCTAATATTAGCATCCCTCCCGCTCCCTAGTGACGCTAATGTTAGCATCCCTCCCGCTCCCTAGTGACGCTAATGTTAGCATCCCTCCCGCTCCCTAGTGACGCTAATGTTAGCAACCTTGAGAATACAAGTTAATTATGTGCTTGTCCACTTTCCTGTGTTGATTCTACACACTTATTACTAGCCTAATGCTGCTCGGCCAAGTGGGAGGGGTCAGCTCTCGGCCAAGTGGGAGGGGTCAGCTCTCGGCCAAGTGGGAGGGGGGTCAGCCCTCGGCCAAGTGGGAGGGGAGTCAGCCCTCGGCCAAGTGGGATGAAGTCAGCCCTTGGCCAAGTGGGAGGGGGTCAGCTCTCGGCCAAGTGGGAGGGGTCAGCCCTCGGCCAAGTGGGAGGGGTCAGCCCTCGGCCAAGTGGGAGGGGTCAGCTCTCGGCCAAGTGGGAGGGGGATCAGCCCTCGGCCAAGTGGGAGGGGGTCAGCCCTCGGCCAAGTGGGATGAAGTCAGCCCTCGGCCAAGTGGGAGGGGGGTCAACCCTTGGCCAAGTGGGAGGGGGTCAGCCCTCGGCTAAGTGAGAGGGGGTCAGTCCTTGGCCAAGTGGGAGGGGGGTCAACCCTTGGCCAAGTGGGAGGGGTCAGTCCTTGGCCAAGTGGGAGGGGGTCAACCCTTGGCCAAGTGGGAGGGGTCAGCCCTCGGCCAAGTGGGAGGCGGCCAACCCTTGGCCAAGTGGGAGGGGGTCAGCCCTTGGCCAAGTGGGAGGGGGTCAGCCCTTGGCCAAGTGGGAGGGGGTCAGCCCTTGGCCAAGTGGGAGGGGGTCAGCCCTTGGCCAAGTGGGAGGGGGTCAGCCCTTGGCCAAGTGGGAGGGGGTCAGCCCATGGCTAAGTGGGAGGGGTCAGCCCTTGGCCAAGTGGGAGGAGGTCAGCCCTTGGCCAGGTGGGAGGTGGGTCAGCCCTTGGCCAAGTGGGAGAGGGATCAGCCCTCGGCCAAGTGGGAGGGGGTCAGCCCTCGGCCAAGTGAGGGGGTCAGCCCTTGGCCAAGTGGGAGGGGGTCAGCCCTCGGCCAAGTGAGAGGGGGGTCATATTTAGTGGCATCAAATAGTTTGAATTTAATAACTATCATTTCTTGTTTGGGTTGAGATTGGGATGCAATAAACCCGTAATGTGTGAAGTAAAAATATTTTGCTTGTCTTTAGTTCTTTACTAAATAATGTAACTAGCGGTAATAGTAAGAATAGTAATATGTTTACTTAACGAGCCTCTACGGCCTCGTTAGACACCATTAGCAAGAATATTCCTACTGGAGGCGGAGTGGGAGGGAATTTTGAAGGGAAAGCGCCAAGCCATTACGGCTATATTGCACTTAGAAGGGCTAATGACTGAGGATGGAACGGTAAAAAAGGGTGAGGGGGGGGGGGGGAGGGAATAGTGCCCAATCACTTGGACGGTCGGGGATTGAACGCCGACCTGCATGCAACAAGACTGTCGCTCTACCGTCCAGCCCAAGTGGTTGGGAGACTGAAAAAACTCAAAATATCAAGAAAACATAATTCGATCCACTAAAAATTTGTATTTATTGAAGAATCTGGAAGTGACCCAATTGAATATACGCAAAGAATGACTGAAAAATATGCAAAAGCAGGTAATTACTTTTAACAAAATTGACTGTTGGGGATAATTCCTTATTAAAGACTTCTTATATGATAGCACTTCAGATCGCGAAAAGTAAAAACCTGTATACGATTGAAGAAGAATTAATTAAGCCCAACATGTTACAAACCTGTGAAGAAGTTTTGGGAAAACAAACTGTCCACCAACTGAAACATATTCCTTGGCCTGCTAACACTATCAGCCTCAGAACTGAAGATACGGCTCGAGATATTGTAAATCCAGTTATCAAAATGGTGAAAAATTTATCATTTTATTCAATATAACTTGACGAATCAACGCGTGAAACATTGCACTTCTCTACATACAGAAATGTGTGGTTATCTTGAGGTTATCTTGAGATGATTTCGGGGCTTTTTAGTGTCCCCGCGGCCCGGTCCTCGACCAGGCCTCCACCCCCAGGAAGCAGCCCGTGACAGCTGACTAACACCCAGGTACCTATTTTACTGCTAGGTAACAGGGGCATAGGGTGAAAGAGACTCTTCCCATTGTTTTTCGCCGGCGCCTGGGATCGAACCCAGGACCACAGGATCACAAATCCAGCGTGCTGTCCGCTCGGCCGACCGGCTCCTCCACCGGTGTGTTGCAATTCTTTTACCATGTCGTAGCTCAGTCGATTAAGGCAGCATCTGGGATGCTCTCGGACGTAGGTTCGAATCCTCGTCACGGCCCTTGTGGATTTGTTCAAGGCACCTCTCGTTGGTTTTGTGAGTGTTGAGTGTGAAAGCGAGTTACAGGAAGAACTGTTGTGTTGCCTAAACTTGCTGGGTGGAACAACCAACTCTCACATGTGTACAGTAGTGAGTATTTATTTCTTGCTACACGGAATTAAATAAGGAAATATTCTGGGATATGTAGAAACACTTAAGTGTCACCCAGACACTTTATCATCACTCTGCATTATTCATCGTGAGCATCAGCCACACACTTTGTCTACACACTACATTATACATCACGAGCAACTTGCGGTGAAAAATACATCAGGACTACATCAAGTATTATCGGATGTTGTTATAATTCCTGATTAAATTCAAGATAAAAGGTTCAATTCTGGCATATTTGAGGCAATTTGTGAAGAGATGATTGGGCAGTATACTCACCACATACCTCGCACACAGTCAAGTATCATACCTCACACACAGTCAAGTATCATACCTCACACACAGTCAAGTATCATACCTCACACACAGTCAAGTATCATACCTCACACACAGTCAAGTATCATACCTCACACACAGTCAAGTATCATACCTCACACTCAGTCAAGTATCATACCTCACACACAGTCAGTATCATACCTCACACACAGTCAAGTATCATACCTCACACACAGTCAAGTATCATACCTCACACACAGTCAAGTATCATACCTCATACTCAGTCAAGTATCATACCTCACACTCAGTCAAGTATCATACCTCACACACAGTCAAGTATCATGCCTCACACTCAGTCAAGTATCATACCTCACACAGTCAAGTATCATACCTCACACACAGTCAAGTATCATACCTCACACAGTCAAGTATCATACCTCACACAGTCAAGTATCATACCTCACACAGTCAAGTATCATACCTCACACAGTCAAGTATCATACCTCACACAGTCAAGTATCATACCTCACACAGTCAAGTATCATACCTCACACACAGTCACGTATAATACCTCACACTCAGTCAAGTATCATACCTCACACACAGTCAAGTATCATACCTCACACTCAGTCAAGTATCATACCTCACACACAGTCAAGTATCATACCTCACACAGTCAAGTATCATACCTCACACACAGTCAAGTATCATACCTCACACGCAGTCAAGTATCATGCCTCACACACAGTCAAGTATCATACCTCACACACAGTCAAGTATCATACCTCACACACAGTCAAGTATCATACCTCACACGCAGTCAAGTATCATGCCTCACACTCAGTCAAGTATCATACCTCACACACAGTCAAGTATCATACCTCACACACAGTCAAGTATCATACCTCACACAGTCAAGTATCATACCTCACACTCAGTCAAGTATCATACCTCACACACAGTCAAGTATCATACCTCACACACAGTCAAGTATCATACCTCACACACAGTCAAGTATCATACCTCACACAGTCAAGTATCATACCTCACACAGTCAAGTATCATACCTCACACAGTCAAGTATCATACCTCACACTCAGTCAAGTATCATACCTCACACAGTCAAGTATCATACCTCACACAGTCAAGTATCATACCTCACACAGTCAAGTATCATACCTCACACACAGTCAAGTATCATACCTCACACAGAGAAGATTCAGCGGTATGCCACCAGGCTCGTCCCGGAACTGAGAGGAATGAGC